CAGTGTCACTGGCCCTCATGTGGGATCTGAACTAGGGCCCTGCTGCTCATAGCTGGAGTCCCAAGGCAGCTCTTATCAACACGCCACTCAGCTGGCCCAATAGTTTTTTTTTTTTAAATCAAGTATAATACAAACAAGGATGTCAATGAGTACTGAAATTTGCTGACATAATAGGTCAGCTGTTATGTTGGTTATATGATCTATTATTTAAAGAAGGTAAAACTAAAAGTATTGATAATTCGCCTTTGTAGTCAGTAATGATGAATATCTTAAAATAGTGTTCTGTTAACTTTCCAAAGGCCAACAAAGAACTATATATAAGGATTGCATTTGAAGAACCAGAAATTCTGGTATATCAGTTTGATATTAACACCACTGACTAATTTTACTGAAATAATAGGAATATAAATGAGATTATAGCATATAATGGAAGTACACTGTAAGAAATTAGGGAGGCATACTTAAAAAGAAAGAATCAAAAAATAAATAAACTGTAAAATATAACCTGAATTTAGTGTGGTTTTAATAAGTTTACAAACTTTTTGAAAAATGGCTCCATTAGAAGTAAGTGGGGTTATTTCCTGCAGGCTGTGTCATCTCCTCTCTGACACACAAGGAAACACACGTTTGGCTGACTATGGGGAGAGGAGGAACTGGAATCATTGAGCTGCTTTCAAAGCCCAATACTTACCTTGTCCGGCCGCAAGCAACGAATAATAAGCATCCTTTGAAACTTATTTGCTTTAACTTCCCAAGCATCAGGAAAAACTTCATGATGTGGTTCCTAAAATTATAGTGGATATAATTCATTGTTACTTTGGAGATTATTTCTAAAATGAACAGTATTTTAACTTAAAAACCAATTTTTATAGAAAACATAACGACTAACTGAAATCAAGAACACTAATGTAAAATTTATTAGGTTGGGGCAAAGTTTTGAAATAAGAAATGAAAAGAAAATTTATAACCCCATGAAGAAATCAAAACTGGGACAAAATGATCCCTATTATGAAAAAAAAAGTGCATATGGAGTTTTATTCCCATTAATTATTCAAAGGCAGGTTGAATTCAACCACTCTCATCATCTATTTATAAAAATAAATATTTATGGCAAAAGAAAAAGGGCATTGTACTAACATTTATTATGTTACTTCTTGTTTTGAACAATTTTGGAAGCCTTTTTATTAAGGGATATTTGAGAATGTGTACAGTAAAGAAGAAGCCCAAAGAGAGAGAGCTATTAAAAATATACAAGAAGAGAGGCATCAAGATTCCAGGAGGGGAGGTACCCTTGAAAAAACAACCAGAAAGAAAGAAGAACATTTATACCTTTGAAACTTTGGGGAAGGCTATGAAGTAATTCAGATCAGAAATCTCCATGCTTCACTACAGTGAATAAATACCTATTTCAAATTAGAATGAAGTACTCACAAAAAATTTGTCTCTAGAAAATAATTTGTTTTGCTAACAAGGAGAGATTCAAAAGATATTTTGTCCAAAATATTGGGTTGTCAGAAAAGTCATGACGTATTTTTTCTATGTTTTTCGTTGCAAAAATGCATCAAGACTTTTCCAACAACCCAATATTTGAATTCATGCGTAGACACAATCTTACTATTGTGTATAATACAACAAATAAGTAACCAAATAAAAAATGTTCTCCACATATATGTTTGTTTTGGTCCTCCTCCTCCTCACTCCCCCAAACTGAGCTTTTGCATATAAACCCAAGGAAAACAGAATGTCAAGAGAGTAGAAACAAATAACGGAATTTGCGAAATCTTAGCCCTTATGCTAAAAAGTTATGAAAGGCAAATTTGTATGTATTACAGAAGGGAAACTGTGAGTATCATGGTATATGTTAACTATAATAGATTCCAATGAGCAAGACATTGTCTTGTGAAAATATTTGAGAACAATTAGCTTTTCCCTCTCCTCAAATGACAAAAATACTGGGGGTGACAAAAAATGTGTACATGTGGACACTTTGGTCAACGTTGATGAAGCAGTAGTTCATCATTATCAGAAGTGTCTGGACACTGATGGTAACCACTTTGAGCACCTCTTGTAATTGCAGAAGTCAAACAAGGCTGATACTCGTCTTTTGTTATTGGTATATATTGAATATTACAATTTTAATACAGTTTTCCTTTTTTAAAATGTGTATACATTTTTTTTGCACCCTCTGTATTTTTTACCGTGTATCTTACATTCAGAAAATCTAAATAATAGTTGTTTTGTAAAATTTTAACTCTTCTATCATAATTGCCGAAGTCTAAGTTGATAATAAATAATAACTTAACATGGAAATTTAAAAATAATATTTTTAAAGGAGCATACCGCTTTTTTATGTTATTTATTTATTTTTTTAGCTGAGCCATCCTGCTACCTGTTGGCAGCTCAGTGGCTGCTCAGCTCGGGCTGGACTCAAACTGCTGTTGCTCAGAGCTCAAACTCTTGAGCAAGTTCTTAACCAACTGAGCCACTCGGCCGGCCCCCTAGCATACCACTTTTTTGCATCTCATCACACTTCAAGGAATTTCAATAGAAGTTCAAACAGAACCACTGATTTAGAAGGTGGAAATAATATAAACCTAAACTTTGATTTTAACATCTGACTGGCTATTTAAAGCTTATTTGGATCTTGTTTTTATTCAAAGATAAAAATATATTATTTAACATTATTTTCTCCATTTACAAACTTTGGAATAAGCAAGAGGATTAAAAACATACCAAACTATCATATACTTTTTTCCATCCATCCTTTAAGCGCATAAACTCCTTCCGAATGGTTCTGAAGGAAGGCAAATCATCTAGTCGACATATTTCATCCCAAGATTTTTGGGGAAGCCATGTACAAGGGTTGGTATGAGGATTATCCAGTCCAATGCCACCAGTTAGAAGAAATCTCCACTCAGCTTTATTAATCTTTTGAAAACAAGGTAGCATGAAGTGTCAGAAAAGAGTTCATCACATATATAGTAAATTTACAACCATTGAAAAGGAATTGACTGTTAATTTTGAAATTTCAGGTATGGTTCCTATGAAATTCTGATATAGCTCAGTATTTATTAGTAAGAAACCAATATATTCATTATAATCAGTTTTCAAAATAGTTCCATTTTAGAAAGCTACTTTTTGATAATTCGTTTCCAGAATTACTAAACATGAAAATCTGAATATATTCTATTTGTTATGTTTTCCAAATGAATGCTTAAAAGTTCTGCAGACTCTAAAAATTGTGGGAAGATAGAAAGCCATAGTTTGCCATGTTTTCAATTATTTTCCATCAAGTATAATCAGGTACTGCTATGAAACTTTTGCAAAAAATGCAAGAATAAAGCCTTTTCTTTTTCAGAATTCAACCAATACATCATCATATGAAATCAATAAATCTTAAACAATAAAATAGTGAATTTACACAACAGGTATTGTTCAATGCAAGTAGTTAGATTTGACTAATTTGCACAAGTTCTGAAAAACATTACCATTTATACTATTGGTGGAATTATGTCAATCTATTTCGTAAATTTATATGCATACTTATGTGAGACTCTAATAGGAACTGATTTATTTTCAATTAAAGCATACAAAAGTTTAATACCTACATAATGAACTCTGTGCTTAATTTATATTTCAGTCTAGTTGTGCTGTCTTGCCATAACTATAATAATAATTATCATTATTGTTTATTTACAACTTTTAAAATACCTAATCCCACACAAATCAGTAAATTAATGAATCAATTTTAATATTATGGATTTTTTCCCTACAAATGAAAACAGTACTGACCGCACCCTCGTGTATCAGCAGATTGACAGTTAGACAAAAGGAAAAGAGTAGCTTGTCCTTTTCAAAGAGTGACCGGCAGATATTAACATAGAGGGAATATGTAAAGTGATCCTTGAGAATTTGAAGCCTAAGGGTCAACAGAAAGAAAAGTAAATAAATAAAAATTCATTATACTTTACAGAAAATGCTCTTAAGGAAACCTATTATAAACTGTTTAGATGTATGTTATTCCAATAAGCTTTGTGGTCAATTAACCCCCAAACAATTAAGGGTCATCATTAAATGGATGCACTAATTTGAGAGCTACACAATGCAGAAACACCAGTAGAATTGCTTTTTATTGTTGGCTGATTTTTTTTTTTTAACTGAATCTTCCTTTTGGTAAAAAGTCAATGCACTCTATAGTAACCTATTATGTCAAAATTCTGTGGACTATTTTTAATGATAAAACATTTCTTGGGGTAAAATTTGACTTTCTTATTTCATAAGTACTTCCAAATATTCTATATTATATTTTAAAAAACAGACAAAAATTAATAGTTCCTTTATTGAATTAACATTAAGTTTAGTAATGTGCTACTTCCTCATAAATTATTAAAAGCTGGAGAAATCACAGACTTAATAAAATATATTTTTTTACCACATAGACAAAATGTGCAAATCACAATATTTGCAACTAACATTTTAGTAAATGCTAACATGCAACCTGTATTCATAAGAACTCTTAACATGAATATAACACTTCAAGCATTTTCACTTAATTATCTCATAAGGGAAATAAACTATCACTGAAAAGAAAATTTAAAATATTTTATTACATAGGTTATAATAGTTCTAATAGAAATAAACAGTTGGCTGAAAACATTTGTAGAAACCTTAAGATTTACATGAATCAACGGCCCAAACTATCTAAGCAGATCAATTTATCTGAAGGAAAAATGAGCATAGTTTGATTAAGCAAAATTATATTGGTGTCCCATAAAGTGTCTAGAAAAAAAACACCTACCAGTACAATCATATCTTTGCTGTTTCCAGCCTGATATCCTAAGCCATTGATCATCCCAGATCTATTTTTTCCTTACCTGCCTATTTCTTTAACTATTTTATCCCTGCCAGCATTCCCATAAAGAAAATTACAACAAATGGATATATTTTATTTCTAGTTGAAAACTCTGAAAAAAGGCTTGGTAGAGAGGGCCTTGAAACTAGCTGCTGTAATATGGTTGAATTCTTTGAAGATTTAAAATAATCATTTATTTTAAATGTCCCCATTTTATGCTAATTAATGGTCTTGTCACACATGGCGTTTAACTTGTCTTATCTGTAATAGCACAATTAATACAGGGTGACTCAGGTTTGGTCTTTCTAGAATAAAATAAAAAGTTCTGCACTTTAAAACAAACTTCCTCTTATAGATACGAAGGTCAAAGCGAAGATTATAAGGGTCAATCATATTAAAAATCCAAGTTCAATTTCATTAGTGCTAAAATACAGATTAAAATATGATATTTTAATAATTTGCTACAGTGAAAAAGAGGATAAAATTATCATTCTCAATGCTAATGCGTGACACAATCATATAAAATCATTCCTGTTCTTCCGATGGAGTTGTACATTTGAAGGAAAGAAATTTATATCAGGAAAGACATAAACACTTTTGTCCTAATTTTGGATTCTAACCTAAGGAAATAATCATGTAGACATTTACATTTATTGCAGCATTGTTTATAATACAAAAGCTGAAGACTACTTACCAGTCTTACAATAAGAAAATTATGGTACATTCATACAATACTATATTGTGTAGCTACTAAAAATGATGTTTCAGGGAAGTATTTTATAACATGGGGAAAATGATCTTGTAAAAGTGGAAGGAAAAGAAATAAATGTGTGTGTATGTGTGTTTGTGCTTAAATGTATTTCCTAGCGAATGAGAGAAAAAAAGAGAGAGAGAGAGAGAGAGAGAGAGAGATTTCAGTTTGATTCCTGTAACAAAGCTATACCCTAGATTTTTGTTTCTGTACTTATGTATTTTTTTGGCTATGGTTTTTTATTTATTTTGTTATAATAAATT